TTCCGCAACGCACGCATATCTGCCTGAACTGTCTGAAATAAGATCAGCTGGGATTAATAGAATCTCTAAGATCCCATATTTTTAACCGAACGAGAACGCTCGGCATTAAAGGGGGAGGTGTTAATCCATAATTATTGAAGACACACGCCACTCTTGTTAACTCATAATTCTCGAACACACACGCCACTGTTGTTAACTCATTATTATCGTTGCACATGCCACTGTGTCATCGAATCAACAACACCACCATCTACAAAATATGAAATATGTCAAGCAAGTAAAAACAAAGTAAAATGTGAAAGACTCTTTAGAATACCAACCATACAAATTTGTTAATGTAAGCATAATTATAAGACCACTGTATGACCATTTTTTAAATAAAGAAATCAGTTTATTAGTGAGACTCAAAAAACTGGATACTACAGCCCAAGAAAGAAAATTGTCTGTGCGGGTCCACGTCCTCGTATAGCCCCTCATATAACGGTACCTCCCGATATTCTGTATTTTGATGATTTTAGCGACATTATTCAGCGGAATTGTTTCAAATTTTGTATTTGAAATTCGCAATGAATACTACAGCCTTAGACAGAAAATTTTCTGTGCAGGTCCACGTCTTCGTACAGCCCCCATAAAACGGTACCTCTCGATATTTTCCTAAGTTTCGCATTTGAATATTGTAATGGCTTATGACAAAAATTACCTATGCAGATCCATGTCGTCGTATTGACCCTAATATAAAAGATACATTCTGTATTTCTAAGATTTTAACAGAATTTTTAACGGATTTTATTGTTTTTAGAATTGTTTTTAAGAAAGTTCGTCCCTGCTGAACTTATAGCTTTTTTACTTGTTTTTTTATTTGTTGTCGCTTTATTTTTCTTACAACTTATCCATTTTAAACTTCTTTTTAATCTTCTTCCTACATATACTTTTGCTCAATTTTATAATTTTATTTTTTTAAAACGTATTTCTCAATATTTGTGTTTTTTTTTGCTTCTTCACTTTTTAAAAATCTTCTTTTGCTTTCACTTATTTCAGAGCAAAATAACGCCTCCATTCACTCCATTTTCCTTCGGTACTGGGAGGATTGACGCTTACTGCAGTCAGTCCTTGACGTGGCCTGTGCTTGTATTCTATTAGAGCCTGTCTTTTGGTTGAAGCCTGTGGGGTCCTTGATGTTGAAGCCTGTAGGGTTCTTGATGTTGAGCGAACGAGCTTGAACAAGGTCGGATGACTGTTTGAAAAATAATTTTCATCAACATGTTTAAGTCGGCATGTGCGCCTTTTTTAACCATAACATCACATAAACATAAAGTTATGAATTTTAGTACTGGGATCACTGTGAATGCGCAAATTTGTTCTGTGCAGTCTGGATTTAGATTTCGAATACTATCCAGAAAACGAGGATATTTGAAAATTGTTTCAATAAAAGTAAGGGAAGATAAGGGAGATATCGAAGAAAGTATGGGACAAGTCGAATTCTACATTCTAGGACTTGTCATTTACACGTAAAGTTGGGCTCTTGCGTCAGCTTATTGCCATACTGTGCACAAGTTGCCATGCCCATTGACCGACGAATAAATTGAAACACGCCGATGATAATGGACATCGAAATTTCTTGAAACAAAATCACAAATCACAAATGGCTCTTTAACGTCAACTGCCGCTCTGGAATTGAGTAACTTTACTTGGGCGTACTTCGAAAATGTATCTATAGCAGTAAGTATTGGTTTCTTTTCCGTTAAATATATGTTAATATGAACGATCTCTCCTGGAAACTGTGGTATTGGCGTTTCTCCTAATTCAATTTTATTCGGGTGTCTATCATACTTATTTTCCTTGCAGATTTTGCAAGTCTTGACCACCTTTTTGATTTTTGAGTGCATTTCTGGAAAATAATATTGTGGCAATATTTGAATCCTGTTTTCCGCGCTGTTTCGGTGTGCTCTGATATGTTCATTTATAATTACTTCTTCTTGTTCGTCGATGGTCTTGAGGTCAGTTACTAATGTTCTAGAGTATTTTACTTTATACCGTGAGAAGTTTTCACGAAATACTTTTTGCAGTCTTTCAGGAATATGATCTGTTGTTTAATGCAGTTCGTACCAGATGGGTTCAAATACTTTTTTAAAATTTCAATGAGATTGTCCGTTGTGATATTTGGTTCGTTTATTCTATGTCGATGGATTGTTGGAAAAACAATTTCAAAATTGTAAGAATGGTGTTTACCTTCAGACGACAAGATAATCTGATTTTTAAAGGCATTTATCGGTACGTCGGTAAATTGAATTAAATTGTGCGAAGAGCTTTCGTCACTATGTTGTGTAGAAGTAATAGAGTCTACCTGTGAATAGCATTATATGTGAGCTGTAGAAAAACGTGGACCTAAATATTCAATGTTCCGCCACCGGAGCTGGAAACCATTATAACCTACAAGTTTCAATTTTTAGACAGATCTGAAAACATCTGGAGAAAATCATAAAAATGCCGCTTATCGAGAGATATCGTTATATGGCGGCTATAATAAGTTCTATACATTCCACCACAACTTTACAATTCCTATCAATAACGGATCCTGATTGGCACACTGGCATCTCCTCGACAACTTACTTGGCGGATATCGTTGTGAGCGGATCAACGGTGGACATTGATTGTTGTCGGTTTGCTCAATATATTATCCCTATCTCACACATCTGAAATACGAGGTGGGAATTCAAATCAATGAACTTTTGGATCACAGGATACTCATAATACGACCTCATATCCTATCCCATCATATAACTCTCCTATCTAGTAAAATTAAAATAAATCCTACGGTGAAAGCAATTGATACAATTGAAAAGTGATCTTAAATCGGAGAATGTTTTGTTAGCAAATCCGGACTTTAACAAAGAATTTCATCTGACCACTGACGCTTATAAATACGCGTTTGGCGGAAAACGATCGACCTATTATTTTTTTGTCTCCAACTCTTCAAAATTACCAATACGCTTCAGCCAAAATGAAAATCTACACGGTCCATTTACCACTTCTTTTCATAACAACAAGTAAAAAAGCTGTAAGTTCGGCTGGGCATAACCTTGAATACCGAATGTAGCTGTTATATTAGGGTCTATACGACGGCGTAGACCTGTATAGGCAACTTTTGTCATAAGCCATTACAAGACTCATCTGCGAAACATGAATAAAAAAATCCCGTGAATAATGCAGCTAAAATCATCAAATACCGAATATAGGGATGTACCGTTATATTGTGTATATACAAAGACGTGGACCTGCACAGACAATTTTATTTCAAAATTTTACAACACCACCATCAAAATAGTAGATAAAACTTATAATTTCTTTGAAACAACACACCTACAACCCTTACCCGCAATTCTTCAGCCTAGATTATCCGAACCAAACATCAAAGAAACCATATCTTTGGAAATGGTAAAAGAACTCCAAGTTATAAACACAAAATCCATATAACTGCTAACATCATACCATAAGTGGGGATTTTCATTCAACATTGGTTCGTCTTCAATAGCAATTGTGATTGTTGCGTTTATAATTCTACAAAAAATTGCATGCTCCCAGAAAAAGAAAATTGTTATTTCAGCACACATAATTAAAACAAATTCCGCAACGCACGCATATCTGCCTGAACTGTCTGAAATAAGATCAGCTGGGATTAATAGAATCTCTAAGATCCCATATTTTTAACCGAACGAGAACGCTCGGCATTAAAGGGGGAGGTGTTAATCCATAATTATTGAAGACACACGCCACTCTTGTTAACTCATAATTCTCGAACACACACGCCACTGTTGTTAATTCATTATTATCGTTGCACATGCCACTGTGTCATCGAATCAACAACACCACCATCTACAAAATATGAAATATGTCAAGCAAGTAAAAACAAAGTAAAATGTGAAAGACTCTTTAGAATACCAACCATACAAATTTGTTAATGTAAGCATAATTATAAGACCACTGTATGACCATTTTTTAAATAAAGAAATCAGTTTATTAGTGAGACTCAAAAAACTGGTTTGCTTTAAATAACAAATATATATATATATATATATATATATATATATATATATATATATATATATATATATATATATATATATATATATATATATATATATATATATATATATATATATATATATATATATATATATATATATATATATATATATATATATATATATATATATATATATATATATATATATATATCCGCCAAGTGAGTTGTCGAGGAGATGCCAGTGTGCCAATCAGGATCCGTTATTGATAGGAATTGTATAGAAGTTGTGGTGGAACGTATAGAACTTATTATAGCGGAACATTGAATATTTAGGTCCACGTTTTCTTACAGCGCACATATATATTTTGTTAATCCAAGTCACATTTACCAACGAAATTGTTTCAAATTTGATATATAAGAAGATTTGTTAACCCGCCAATGGTGACGCTAATTTGACTTTGACTAATGGTGACGCCGGTCTCATGCACCGGGGTTTTCAACTGAAGTTTTTTCGAAACGTATGACTAATAGTTAATATTTTTTTTTTATTATTTATCCACTTTGACAATAAAATAAAGATATTTAATAATTTTAAACTCTTTTATTTCAATATTAAAGCTCACAGACATTTTGAAATAGAGCATTAAAAATAACGATGTTTTAGCAATTAATTTTTTAAAATTAAGAAAAAATAAAAAAATCATATATTAATTCAAGAAAATAATGTTAATTAGTCTTTCGATAATAGGAACTTTTATAAAATGAACAAAATTGGTATCCTTCCAAAAAAAAAAAAAAAACAAAAAAACAAATACATCTTAAAAACTAAATTTCTTCTGGCAAACAGCTGCTGCAATAAGGTACTACGTGTTCAAGACACAAATATTTTTGGCACTTTTGGCAAAAGTATTTGGTTTTTCTGTTTTTTTCCAGCCACACTCATGGCACCGTCCAATTCTGCAAGGACCAGATGTACCCACATCATTTATATGCAAAATCTCCGACAATCTTAGTTTTATTGATCGTGGTAAATTTGATTGGTTTTGCCGGTCCCTTATATGAGGCTCAATTAATTTCATAGCCAAATTCTCAATAAAGTTACGACGTAGTAATTTTGTGTCTGGATTATTGGCTGTATGTATCACCTGGCTATTTATGGTACTGACATTGAGCATAGCGTAGAAGATAACCATAGGCCATCGCTTTGTTGCTCGAGCACAATTATAATTTGCACATAAACGATCTACGACATCGACGCCGCCCTTGGTGTCGTTGTAGCTCAAAATTATATCGGGCTTTTGAGTTTCGGCGTCGACTTTAGCATCATTGTGCATTGTACTTATAAGCAGAACATTTTTTCCTTTCCTTGGAGCATGTGACACCAATACCATGTTGTCACGAAAACCAAACATAGTGGATTTTACATTTCGACCGCGTAATATGTTGAAGTCTGTAGGAATTTATTTCTTGTTCTTCCTGATTTTTCCGACGGTTGTTAAACCTTTTTGCAGCAATGCTTCAGCTAAGGGTATACTGGTGTACCAATTATCGGTTGTGACGTTGCGACCTGTGTTGAAAATTGGTTCACATAATCTTTGAACAACAGCGAAGCCAGAATTGTCTAAATTGTATGGGCCTTCTTGTGGTTGTTTTCCGGAATAAATTTCCATATTGTATGTGTAGAACATTTTGGCGTCACAAAGGGCTTGAATTTTGATGCCATATGGATTTGGTTTGTTTGGAATATATTGCCTAAATGAGCACCTTCCCCGAAATGCTTCCAACTTCTCATCTATAGTCACAAAAGCAGATAAAGTATAATTAGCCTTACAATTGTTAACAAATTTCTCGAAGATTTCTCGAATATGGCAGATTTTGTCCAATGTTTTCTATCTGCCCTCGTAGTACTATCATCAAACCTCAAAACTCGCAGTAAAAATCTAAATCTCTGGGCAGACATTGAAAGTCGAAATATTTCAACTGACCCGCCATCTGTACGAAACAACTCTTCTACGTTCAGATGATTAGATTTTTTAACACCAGCTAAAAGGAGCAATCCTATCAGGCAATATATTTCCTTGAAATCAGTGTCTTTGGCATATGTTTCTCTGCAATATTTATCTTTTACGGCAGCAATATATTGGTTGGTATACTTGACAATTATATGAATAATAGAGTCATCAAAAAAGTGTCTCCAAATTTCAAGAGGATCTTTTTCATGGGCTATAATCCGCTTTGGTCCTGGTAACTGTGAAACTATGTTGGCACTTTTAGTACGAACAGATTGGCGCGCTGGTTTCTTACTCCATTTTGTACTTGTGTCTTTTCCAATATAAAATAAAGAGCTATTGCATCCTGAAGGCTCTCGGTCACTCAACTCCTCTTCGCTGTCTGAATCGTGTATTTTCTCTGGTTCATAATCAATTTCGGATCCGCTATCTGAAGAACTTGTTGGTCCGTCCAAATCAAATTTTGTTTCTTGTAGAAGATCTTCAAGCTGACGCTGGAAGCTTTCATAAGACATGCTGTAAAAAAAATATATTATAAAACACATACATACATACACATGTAAACACACAAGTACACATATATTTACAATAAAACAGCAACAAATTATAATAAACTTAATAAAAACGTGAATAGTAAAAAAATAATTCTTGAATATTTTACTTACACAAACGGTGACTCACGGTTTCACACACCAGGGTAGAACAAAAATACACGAACTTGTGTTCACTAAGCAGTTTCGTCATGAACTGACGGTGGGGGATGTACTTAGCTACAGCTACTCGAAATCGCAACAAAAACGAATAACGGTAAAAAAAGTTATACGAATTTTTTAACACAACCGGTCTCACAGACCAGTGCGTCACCATTGGCGGGTTCAACAGTCCTCGAAGTATAAAATTGTCTATAGAGGTTTCCGTTTTGGTATGTCCCCCATATAACGGTCCCACCCACTTTATGGTTCTTTGAAAAGTTTAAGAGCATTATCCAAACGGTCTTGCTGTATTTGTAGTTTAAAGTTAAACACGTTTGAATTTCGACTTTTTGTATAAACATGTTTTCCTAACCCAATGTGGGAAAGTATTAAAATTTATTTTATAAGAATTTCATTATATTCTAACGTAAGCAAGTTAATTTAATGAATAGTAAACATTGTCAAATAAGATTTTTAAAAATAAAAGTTCACTTGTTAGTACACTCAAAGTGTACTTTATCTAAATGTGTCCAAAACCACTTGCTTATATCAGACATACTTCTTGATTGATCTTATTGATTGATTGATCTACTCTATTTATCTATTTTACAATATTTGTCTATAAAATTTTAAAAGTTATCTATTTTTGATTTTGGTCATAAGGTTTTATAATAATTACATCATTCGTTACTAATTCTAGGTATACTGACTAGGTAAATTATTAATTTATTGCTAGTGGCAATTTTTACATAAGACAATTCTATTGCTTTATCTAAATTTACAAATGGAATTGAAACTTCTTCAGATCTTTCCTTGATTATTTCAATTTCATTGTTTGATAATTTAAAGGATTTAATATAATAATTTGTTTGCCCAGTTTAAAGCGTATTGAATGTATATTAGATACTAGTTAATTTTTTCTATGGATATATTTTATGACAACTTATTATACATTATTATACTTGTTATACATTATTAATCTGTTATACATTATTAATTATACCCTCCATCATACTATGGAGGGTACATTAATTTTGTCATTCCGTTCGTAACTCTTCGAAATACTCATGTCAGACCCAACAAAGTATATATATTCTTGATCAACATAAAATTCTAAGAGGATTTAGCCATGCCCCTCTGTGTGTCTGTCTGTCCGTCTGTGTGTCTGTCTGACTGTTGTAATCACGCTATCTTTCGAACGGATTAAGATAGAAGGCTAAACATTTCCACACATGTTTATTTTGCCAGTAGGCAGTTTAATTTCGTAAATGGGTCGTGTAGGCCCACGTTTTCATATAGCCCCCATATAACGGTACCTCCCGATATTCGGTATTTTGATGATTTTAGAGACATTTTTCACCGGAATTGGTTTAAATTTGGCATTTAAAGTTCAAAATGCATACTACAGCCTATGAAAGAAAATTGTCTGTGCAGGTCCACGTCTTCGTATATACACAATATAACGGTACCTCCCTATATTCGGTATTTGATGATTTTAGCTGCATTATTCACCGGATTTTTTTATTCAACTTTCGCAATTGAGTCTTGTAATGGCTTATGACAAAGTTGCCTATGCAGGTCTACGCCGTCGTATAGACCCTAATATAACAGCTACATTCGGTATTCAAGGTTATGCCCAGCCGAACTTACAGCTTTTTTACTTGTTGTTATTAGAAGAAGTGGTAAATGGACCGTGTAGATTTTCATTTTGGCTGAACCGTATTGGTAATTTTGAAGAGTTGGAGACCAAAAAAATTATAGGTCGGTCGTCTTCCGCCAAACGCGTATTTATACGCGTCAGTGGTCAGATGAAATTCTTTGTTAAAGTCCGGATTTGCTAACAAAACATTCTCCGATTTAAGATCACCTTTCAATTGTATCAATTGCTTCCACCGTAGGATTTAATTTAATTTTACTATATAGGATAGTTATATGATGAGGATAGGATATGAGGTCGTATTATGAGTATCCTGTGATCCAAAAGTTCATTGATTTGAATTCCCACCTCGTCTTTCAGATGTGTGAGATAAGGATAATATATTGAATAAATCGGGTTTTCTTCTTTTGCTTAAAATTCACCAACAGCGGATGCGGTGTACGTTAAATTTTCATTGGGATCACGAATAGGTTTCTATATTTCTTGACCAAATTGCCGAGTTGAAGTCTTTGTCCGTCATTCATGTGGTCGTTCCTGATATTAATAGTATTAATTGATGATATTAATAGTATGAACTGAGACGTTAGCTGCTTTATTCATTTTTATACCCTCCACCATTCTATGGAGGGTTCATAAATTTTGTCATTCAGTTTGTAACTCCTCGAAATATTTATAAGTAACCCTACAAAGTATATATATTCTGGATACAAATTCTAAGACTATCTAGCGATGTCCGTATATCTGTCTGTCCGTTTGTCTGTTGTAATCACGAAATCTTTCGAACAAATTGAGATAGAAAGCTAAAATTTTGCATACATGCATAGTGCCATGTCAGTCCACGTTTTCGTATAGCCCCTATATAACGGTACGTGCCGATATTCGTTATTTTTATGAATTTAGCGACATTATTCACAGGAATTGTTTCAAATTTTGCATTTGAAGTTCGTAATGGGTACTATATCCTATGACAAAAAATTTCGTAAGCAGGTTCATGTCTTCGTATAGTCTCCATATAGGTTAGGTTGAAAAGAGGGGCGAAATAAATTTGATTCCATAGGGATATGTTGGCGTTTTTTTGCCCATGTCTTTAACACTAGACGTGACTACGTTTGTTGTTGCTAATCTCCTGCCTGTTTTGGCGAAAGAGCTTGCTATCTCGTTATCTCTAACTCCCTATGAACTGGTACACATATAATGCGTACTAGGCCGTGTTGAAAGTAGTTGTTGATTGAATTTATGCATTCCGTTACAGTTTTTGAGGTTACTGTTTTGGATGTCATACTTTCAAAATAAGGCCTTGCATTTCGTCTGTATTCACCTGGAAATTCCTTTAGAATTTAATAAGATTTCCGAGAAGTGCATGAAAAGTTTTAACGTTAGGCGAAAAGGAAACACAATTGCTTTGCTAAATTTTTATCAAAGAGTTTAATAAAAGTATGATGTGTAATTCTTGTCTGTTCAGCGATAAAGGGAGCGAAAAAATATAATTTTTAATTAAATGAGATTGAATATAATTTTTGTTAGGTCCGGTGTGAGCCAATATTCTTAAAATTTGTCCTGTGCTCGTCATACTAACAAAATAAGGCTTTGCATTTCATCTGTATTCACATGGAAATTCCTTTGGAATTTAATAGGCTTTTGATGCCTAGCGCTTCAATTGAATGGACTTTTGATAGAAAATTGGTTGTTATTTCTGGGACTGTTAATATAATTTACAGTCTTAGTCCGTATTGAGGCCTCCACATCCATGGGTTCATGACGGGGTTGTGGTTTTGGAGCGGATGGTCTTGCGGGTTGTAAAAAATTATAATGACCTTGCGCCGTTGTATTGTAGTAATTCATAAGACGAAAATTGTTGTCAAAATGTTGGTTATTTTGTTACGCATACGCACGAATGAGCCAGTGTGTGACATTCGGGCGATGTTCCATTCGCTGTGGTTACTGAGACATGATACTGTGTTTATTGATTTTCTGACTAGAAAAATCAGTCCTTACACTTTGATTCTGAATTTTATGGTGAGGTTCAAGGGTTGTGGAAGGTCTCTTGGTTCATT